AGCTGCAGATCAGAGCTGTTCATATTCAGCCATCTTGCCAGCCACCTCTAAGTTATTCTTTGACAAGTGGTAATGAAGCACACTTTCAAATCCTGGGATACTATACTATCCCTTGCTTTCCTAGATCCTGCAAAAACCTTCATAAATACTTCATTTATTAAAGCTCCTCAAATTATCCTATTTTGAATGTATCATGTTTTTTTCTGCTGGGAACCTAGCAGATGCAACATTTTATATGCATTAACACATTTAATCTTGTCAACATGTTATCCTCATTTTACAGATTAAAAAAACTGAGGCACAGAAATTTCAAGTAACTTAAAAAAAATACAACAGCTAGAAAAAAACAGAATTTGAATTTGTATCCCAAAGACTCTAACTCTACCATACATGCTCTTTAATTCTACACTAGATTATTTCAGGAACTAAAGAAACAGAGCTCTCTACTAAGCCTACCATCAAACCAAAGCCTAACAACCAAAATTCTGTGGTTCTTTATCCTGTAGAAATTTTGCAGGCCATAATAGAACAGGTGAATCAGCAAAACTTCTACTATCTTTGTAATAAAAGTGAAATGCTCACATTTAATCTTTTCATTAGATTCCTTCAATAACTTTAATTTTTCACCCTCTTTTCCCCATGCATTTTGTTCTCTCAGTTATCTTGCTGCAAATTTCTACATTTATTCTTTTTAATTACTTTCAAATCACAATATACTAAATATTTCCATTATTGTAAACCCTGAGTAGAACCTAAACTGAATGAGGAAAGGTCTTTTTGTCTGTGCACTGCTATATTCCCAGCTTCTACATGTCTATTGTATAGTAGAAACATAAAAAATAATTTATTAAATCAGTACTTCTTTATCTACTATATTCTTTTTTCATAGAATTATGTATTTGTGTTTTCACTGTGTTTGTGTTTGTACATTATCATTCTATCAAAAAGGCAAGGTCGTGAGCCATATCCCCCAGAGTTCTGGGGAGTGATCATTTTTAAAGCCCACGCTTTCTAACAGATTTCTGGTATCTGATGATTCTCATGAACTCACACCTTTGAATCCCCTAAGGAAGTGAGTTTTCAGAGCCACAGTGTCAATTTCTCTTCCGTTTATTTATTTTAAAAAATTCCAGTTGAAAATATTTTTCCTGAAACAAATGAAACACTAAATATAAAATGAAAGTCCCATTTAGTCAACCTACTGCATTCTAGTCTCCATTCCAGGGATAATTACCATTAATGATTTGTTTATATCCTTCTTGCCCTAGTCTTCTGTGTTTTTACAAGCATATATTATATAATTTTCTTTTCACTAAAATGTCTAAGGGATATTTTCTTGTTTCTGCTTTTTACAGCATTGTATTCTGTGGCACAAAAGTAACTTTAAAAAAATTATCTTCCTGTTTATGAACATTTACATAAGTTCTAAATATATTACTACCACAAATAAAGATACAAAGAATATCCATCTACAAACTTTGTCCATAAGTGTGTTTCCAGAAATTGCAGAAATTTAAATAGCATTAAAATTTCAGGATTGAATGCTATAGTTAGTATCATTTTTAAAAGATAAAATACATGTGTATGAGAGGATTTATTTCCTCACACTATTGTTAACAGAAAATTGCAATCTAAAAGGTTGCCCATTTAACAGGCAAAAATAGTATTCTATTATTTTACTTTTCCCTTGTTGCTAAAAACATTAATTTTTTTTCATGTCTTTCAGTAGAGACGGGGTTTTACCATGTTGGCCAGGCTGGTCTCGAACTCCCGACCTCAGGTGATCCACCCACCTTGGCCTCCCACAGTGCTGGGATTACAGGTGTGAGTCACTGCACTCAGCCCAGATGACATTTTGATGAGACTTTGGGCTTTAAACTTTTGAGTTAATGCCAAAATGTCTTAAGACTTTTGGAGTTATTAGAATCAAATGAATTTTTTTTTTTTTCATATGAGAAGAACATAAATTTGGGGAAGCAGGATCAGAATGTTATGGTCTGAATTTTTGTGTGTCCCCAAATTCATATGTTGAAATCTAATCCCCAAATTGATGGTATTAAGAGTTGGGGACTTGGGAAGGTACTTAGACCTTCAGGAGGCCTATGCCATCATGAATAGAATTCACTTTCTCATAAAAGAGGTCTGAGGGAGTTTGTTCACCCTTCTGCCAACTGCAAGCACAGCAAGAAGGTGCTACCTTTGAAGCAGAGAGCAAATTCTCAGCAGACACTGAATCTGCTCAGACCTTAATTTTGGACTTTCTAGCCTCCAGAACTGTGAATAATATATCTTGGTTGTTCCAAATTACCCATTTGTAAGACATTTTGTTAAGCAGCCCAAAAGGACTAAGTCAATTCTCTTGTTTTTATCTCAAAGGCAAAGCTTCTAACATTTCACCACAGACCATATTTGCTAAAATGTATCCAATAAAGAAAAATTCCTTTTCATCTTAGCCATTAGTTTCTTTTGACATCATAAATGGATATTTAATTTTATCAGATGCTTTTGTTTTTTGCATTCCTAATAATCATATGGTATTTCTACTTTATTCATTATTCATTTAAAATGTTTAAAAACCTTGGATTCCTGGTGTAAACCAAACTTGCTTATGATATTTTATCTTTTTTAATTGCTAGATTTATCTATATTTTGGTTGAGATTTTTAAATGTTTATAAATAATATAGACTTACAACTTTCTCTTTTTGTAATGACCTTTTCAAGTTTTTGCATTAAGTTATATTGGCCTCATAAAATGAGATGAACATGATTTCATCTTTAATAATTCTCAGGAACATTTAATGTAATACTTGTATGATTTATTTCTTTAACACTTGGTGGAATTTACTCTAGCAGCCACATGAAATAGGATTTTTTGGCAGTGGAGGCTCTCTATGAGATAGATATTCAAGTTGTCATTTTCATACAAGTGTAAATTATTCAGAAGCTTTGTAATTACTTTCACCTCCACAGTTCCCTTATGAGGGAAATGTGTTCTTTATCAGATCTATTCTAACAACCTTCATCTTCTGAACCAGGTGACACATCTTTATAGTCTGAATTCTGAAGCCCCTTTGTCTTTACAGGTCAATCTGTAGAGAAGGGAACTCAGAAAATGGCTTGAGCTCAGTTATCTGTCATGGTAATTACTTGGGCTAGAGAATAATCATATATTCTTACCACATCAAATAATGAAACAATGGACTATCCCACAGTCCATTCTTCCTCTCCCTTCATCCATCAACTGTTGTTGCCAGCTTTCCCATTAAATAATATTCTAGTCCAGAAGCAGGCACTCAATACTCTAAGGCACTCAATACTCTACGTTCACATATATCCTACAAAACCCCCTAAAGAAAACTCTAGGTACAAAAAGGTAAGACTTTTTTCCATGTACTGCTTACTGATGGTTTCAAGGCATTCTCTTCGAGCTTATAAGACTCAGCTTAGGAAGTACAGAAATAGAAGTGAAATATATAAAGGAATGCATTCTTTGTTAAAAGATTCCAAATGAGCATGGAAAGATGAAATATTCAGGAAATGGTACTGGCACAATTCTTAGTCATCAGGAAAAAATGTAATTTAATACTTATTTCATATAATATATTTAAATAAATTCCACATCAATTAAAGCTTTAAATATATAAAAGAAACAAAAAGCATATTAGAAAGAACATATTTTTTGTTTTTATATTATTATTATCTTGAAGAAAGGAAGGACTTTTAAAATATGACACAAATTCAGAGGCATAAAAGATAACAAAAATAGAGTTGCAAAAAATTCTTTAAAGTAGAAACCATCTTAAACAAAGTCATAAAGCAAACAAAAGCAGGAAAGATCATTGCAAATTACATTAAAGAGAAAGCTAACTTCTCTAATTTGTAAACAGTTTTCGTAAGTCTCTATGAGGAAGGTAAGCAACTTTATAGACAAATGGACAAAGAATAGAAAAAGAATGTCACTAAACAGGAAAAGATGTTCAATTTCACTTAAGGTATAAGAAAATATTTACTGATATTATAACAACATACTACTCTGAACAAACTGACCACAATGGAAAGTTTGATTATATGTTGTTGTTAAAAAGGTGGTAGGAAAGTAGACATTCTAAACATTGCTGTTGGGAGTATAGTTTGACACAACCTCTACGCAGGGCTACAATCTAGGAATAAGGATTAACTGAAATTAAATTGCACTTTAAGGGGAATAAAATTCAACTTTCGAAAATCTGATGTCTGCTTGAATTATGTTGTTCTGACCCTTCAATATTTTCTTAACCCAGACTGCTAGAGGAAATGCAGATACTTTCTTGAGGAAAATATCATCTAAAATCTCAAATTATAATGTTAATTTTTCAATTAAAACAACCAGAAACACCTAAGATAAAATGAAACAAACTAGCATACATGAACATAATATAATATAATCCAAAACTAAGAAATGTTATATAGACTAGATACCAAATATGGAAGTATCAAACACATACTTAAAGTAACACATTTTTAAAGGCATACATTCAATATGTTCAAAGAAATAAAAGAGTGATAATTTAGGAAGAGAACAGGATGTTTAAAAACAATGAAATGAAAGGTCTAGAACTGAAAAATAAAATAGCTGAAACTGAACTTCATTGGTGGATCTACCATCAGATTAGACACAGTTAAAGAGGGAGTTAGTGAACTCTAAAGGATAAGTTGAAAGTATCCAAAATGAATTATAAAGAGAAAAAAGACAGAATATAAAAACAATAAAGTATAAGTGTAATAAAATCCTAACAATCCCCTACTAACATCAAAATTGGGAACACTATCACAGGTTTGACTTCTAAAAAGAACAAAAAACACAGAGTAAATTTAAATTTTTTTCTCATATATTGTTTAATCTAATAAAAATCCAGGTAAGGGTTTCTTTTCATTTTTAGGACTTAAGCAAGGAACAACTAAAAAAAAATCAAACATATTAGCTAAATAATACAAATCAGAAAAAAGTTTAATTACTTACATTCCATATGCTGAGCTTACAGCAAGACTAGTAATCTGTTGTGGAGGTTCACCGTCTACCCATACCAATTGAATAACAAGTTCTGCTTGATATCCTGGAGGCATCCGCACTGGCCGTGTCTTAACACTTTAAAAGCAAAAACAATTCTGTTATATAGAGTTTAAATAAACATGGCTAATAATATCTTGAGAATTTACATAGAATCATGCTACAGAAATATACAACACCAGGCACTGCTGGCACATGTAGATGGAGGTGCCTTCTAGCTTTCTCAAAATACACTGAGTCACTTATGATTGCTTAGTTAATTCTTTAAGTGGACTTCCAGTCACCTAGGTCCACAACTTTAACTGGCCTTTATCACTTCAATTTTTTTCTTTTGAGATTATTTTATTATGCAATTATTTTTCTAATATATTTTACATATATGTCAGTTATAAAGCATAACCATAAAACAAATGACAATTAACCTACCACCCAGTGTAAGAGTTCAACGTATCTAGCATCTGAATTCCTATTTTCCTTTAAAGTTGTTTCACTGGTAGCCTTCTTTATTCCAACTGATAGCAACTCTTATCCTTTCAGTTATTGAGTTAAAAAACCTTAAAGTTCTTCTTGACTGATATCCTTTTCTCATACTTCACAACCAATTATCAAATACTATTGATGCTCCTTTCAAAAATATATCCATTATGTAAAATTTTATGATGATGTTTTCTCTTTGTAGATTTTCCTCCAAGTAATATTTGCTTATATTTACTTCTTTTCATGTATTTCAAAAGAAAAGTTTTGAGAGGACAATCAATGATTACAAAAGTACAGCATCTGCTAATTGTATGGATTTTGCTCCTAAAATCTTATAAGTTTTCCATCAGCATATTTGTAAGAAATGAGTAAACTAGCTGTCTAAAGTTTTGTGTGTGGCAAATGTAGATATGCAGCTCAAAGAAATTCCCTGTTTAGGTTTAATTCTCCAGCCAGCTAACACTAGAAACATTTGGTTTGATGGTATAGAAGCAGGCAATAGTAATTTATACTCTATTACTAAAAATCATAAAAACAATAAAATATTACTATAGGATTTCTTAACTTTAGGTTTTATTTAACATGATGCAAATCTTTGTTTCGTTTATTAACAAATAACAGTTTTTAAAAAGTATATTATGCAATATACTAGCAATCAGGAGAGAAATTCTTTTTTCTAATATAGTATTCTTGTAGTAGACAGTAAATGATTTTCTTTTTGATTCTAGGAAAGCTAAAAAAAATTACATAAACATACTTTTAAAAAATCATTATTATTCCTTTGGAGACACAGTCTTGCTGTTGTTACCCAGGCTGGAATACAGTGGCAAGACCATAGCTCACTGCAACCTTAAACTCCTGGGCTGAAGTGATTCTCCCACCTCAGCCTCCCTACTAGCTGAGACTACAGGCATGTACCTTCATATCCAGCTAATTTTTTAATTTTTGTAGAGACAGGATCTTGCTATGTTGCCCAAGCTGGTCTCAAACTCCTAGCCTCAAGCATTCCTCCCACCTCAACCTCCCAAAGTGTTGGGAATACAGACGTGAGCCACCACACTCCATAAACACACTTTTTCATTTGGAAGGTATCAAGCGAGTGGCCAAGTTTCTGCCCTGCTAAACTTCCCATTCTAACAAAGCCACGTTTTATTTAGTGTCCTTCTGGGAAGGAAATATATAAATAAGTAAATGAAGGATGAAAATAATTTGCCCTCTTCATAGATAGTCAAAGAAAAGACGAGTAACCCCTGGAGAATTGTAGATCACTTGACAACAACTTAATAATTAGAGAAAATTAATTTTATTTGTCACAGTTTCAAAGACTGATACGATTACCATGTAAAATTGTTTTAAAATTTGGTAGCAACTCTTACTTGAGACATGGGATACTGTCCTTTGTTACTCCTTCACTAGCAACAGTGTTAGTGCTCCCGGAAAGACTCCTTGAAGAAGGAAGCTGGGCTGAGAGATCTGGAAATGGAGGACTTGTTTCTGGTTCGGGGGTAATAATATCTTCAACATCATACTGAAGTCGTACCTCTAATGACTTTAAAAAAAAAGTTTAAATTTAATCTAAGTTACAATAATCATCATCAAGTTTTAATTTAATCTAAGTCATAATAAATAATCACATTAAAATACTTGATAACTTTTTAGGAATCATTCACACAGTTTTTTTCAAATTAACAAGTTCAATTTCAATTTATAGTAAAGTTAAGAAGTATCTCATATTAAGTCAAGTATTTAATTATATGGACTATTCAATGGCAATCACAAAAATGTAAATTTTTAAACTTCAGAATTAAAAGAAAAATACCTCAGTAAAGATTAAGTTTTTATGTAATAAATATACTTTAAGATACAGTATAAATTACAGTTTGACATATAATAACAAAAGGAGAAATTGGTTATAGTTATTCCAATGACAGAAATTAAACTTTTTTCATATACACACACAAATATGTATGTGTGTGTAGAGCGTGTGTGTCTGTATGTGTATATGAAAAAAATTACTTGTTTAAAGCCTTTTAGTATAAAAATTTTCCAAAAGAAATTCCATATTTTTGGTTGCTTGTTTTATTACCTTGGCTCTTGTTTAGCTAGATCAGAATTACTTATAAAAAGCATATAGTAATTTATACAGGAATAAAGAGGTGACCTAAAAACCTTTTGTAAACTAAAAAAGTTTTAAAACTAAGTACTTTATGACTGCATTAAGTGCATTAAGTGATTTAATTAGAACTGATTTTATAAAATATATTTTCTTTGTAATGTAAAAATGAGCATTTCTGAGATTGAAAATAATTACTTACAAAAATATCATTATGGGAATATTACCAAAATTATTGTCATAATTATTTTAAAACTACAGAAAAACCTCTAGTGGTGGCAATACAGTTACCAATTATTGAGTGCTTACTACAGAAAGGACACTATTATAATGTCTTTATACAATCATCACAAGAACTCTATGAAATTGATATTTCCATTTCAAGTTTATTTTTATTTACACGCGGGATTATACACGTGATGAAACTGAATCATAGCCACATTCCACTATTGACTTATGACTTGCTCAGAGCCACACACATACTTAATGGGAAAGCCAGAATTAAAACCTAGGTTTATCTGACTCCAATGCCTGGCTTTTTAGCTACTATGCAAGAGAAGGGTAATATTAATTTTAGCTGTTGAGGGAAAAACACTTATACACACTTCTATAGTAAATAATCTTTATCTTCTGGTAAAATAGGCAAGGTAGAGAAGAACAATTATTTACAGGTGGCTTCATTTATAATTAATTTATCCCATAAAAATCATCATTATTTTGAATAAGCAGAGTATTTCCTTGATTTAAAAATTAAGTAAGATTGTCCCATAATTAAATCCACCACATAAAAATGTTGTTACATAGAAAATCATTAAAAATAACCTTATTGTAGCTGAGAAATAATCATTTATGGCAAATAGTTGATGAGAAAATAAAAATCAGATGAACATAAAAATTAAAAAAATAGAACGAAGCCTGCATTAATTTGATTTTTATACATAAAATAAATCAGTAACTATATGTACAAAACCTATATATTTTATTAGTATATACAGAAAAATATATAGGTATATGTTCTATAATATATACATATTTCAAAACATCATGTTGTAGAGTTGACTTATTTTGGCCAGGTAGATGCAACTCACATAACAAAAAAGAAAAATGAGAAAGTTGTGACATGTTTAATTTGTAGCAAGATTAACTTAAAACTAAGCTTGTTTTGATATTAAAAAAAATACCAAGTTTTGATAGAGAACTGTTTTGGCCTTTTAAGCCAAACCATTTATTAATATGTTATAGTAAGTAACAATAGTAGTTTAAAATCCTATGAATTTTATTACAGGCCACATACTGCACACTTGATGAAAACCATACCAAGTAGTAGTGAAATATGTGATAATGGCTTTCTTTTAATAACAGTAAATGTGCAGGTTAAATTTTAAATAACTTACCACTATTTCTGTTGTAATTTCGTATCTGCTGAATCTATAAATTATGACATATGCAGAGACTCCTGATACACAGAATATTCTGCTCTCTGGACACCAGTAAATCATCTGAATGGCAAATGGATCTTCCTCTACAATTTCACACGTTTGTTTTCCTTCCCCTACCTTCTGTTTTTCAAACACTTTTGAGGTTTTTAGCTTGTACAGCATCTGCAGAGTTACTATAAGACATTGAAGCACAGTTATCTTTTAATTTAAACTTAATTATCAGATATTATTAAAGCTTTTCCAAATATATTTGCTAAACCACAAAAGTAAACCTAAGTAGATAAAGTGAATTATATTTTAACTAGTAAACATTCAACGCCATGCTTTCATACCAGTACAGTAGCTAGGGGGAGAGCACAGGGAAAACATAAACATTCCTTGAATACACTATATACCAAGGAATATATAGTGGCTTTCTTGTATCAGTCTCAGAAAAGTCTCATGCAGGAAGTATTTTTATCATCATTTATTGATGAGAATATTGGGGCTCAGAAAGTCTAAAATGGGAATACTGAAAATAATTCTTTCCTAGAGGAGACTCCTCCATTCTTTATCTCAATTTTCCCCTTTGATTGCTAGAGAGGGTGATGATATTCTTAGACAGTTTACTCCTCTCAACAAATTTTTAGACACTCCTTAAGATAAGAAACATTGTAATTTACCAGTTAGCAATATTGGGAGCCCAAGAATCTGTAACTATTTGAAAAGGGATCTATTCTGAGTGGCTCTATGTCAAGAAAGGGTCAGATATAATATCATAAACTGTGTTTGTGAACTGTTTACAAGAATATTTGAGGGAATATTTTTCCATTAGAGACCATGATGATAACTCTTTGTAAAAGAGCTATGATTCTACAAATAATCCTTCGGTAAAATTGTATATATCAGGAGTTCTGAGAAAAGTGCATACTCTGAATCTAATAATGAGAAACATTAGTTAAACCAGACTGAAGGAGATTCTATAAAATAACTGGCCTGATCTCCTTAAGAATGTCAGTGTCATAAAATGAAGACTCAGGAACTTTTTAAGATTTTTTTTAAAACTAAGGAGACATGATGACTAAATGCAACAAATGATCCTGGATTTGTTTTTGTTGTAAAAACTATTAATTTGCAAAAGCTGAATAAAATCCAGAGATTAGATAATAGTGTTGTGTCAGTGTAATCTCCTGATTTTGATGACTATATCTGGTTATGTAAGCGAATGCCTTTGTTTGTAGGAAATACACAGTGAAGTATTTAGGGGTATGTAATGTTGGACGAACATCGTGTCTCCAATTTACTGTCAAATGGTTAAGTAAAAAAGCTATACATATATGTACATGTGTGAGAGTAAAATGTATGAAAGGAAGAGAGAAAGAGTAAGAGAGATAGGGAGAGGGCCGGAACAAATGTAGCATACACTGATATTTGGAGAATCTGGTTGAGAGGTATAAAACATTTCACAGTATTCTTTTTTTTGGCAATTTTTTTGTAAGCTTGAAATTATGTCAGACTAAAATAGTTTTTTATTTTTATTTATTTTTTAATGCACAAGGGATTGTACTGGGTGCTATAGCCTGGCTTCTGAGGTCAGATAGGGTATCATTCCTATGATTATTTATGTTATATGACAACAGTAAAATGATATTGCAGACATCATTGAGGTTCCTAATTAGTTGACTTTGAGCTAATCAACAGATTATTTTTAACAAGTCTAACCTAATCAGAAGAAGTCCTTAAAAGAGGAACTGAGGCCCTCCCTGAAGGTAAAGAGACACTCTCTCTTGCTAGCTTTGAAGCAGTAAGCCACCATGAGCTCTGAATGTGCAAGAAAATGAAGTCTGCCAACAATCACATAAGCTTGGAAGAGAACCTTGAGTCTCATGAAACTGCAGCCCTAGCCAACACCTTACTTACAGTCTTGTGAGACCCTGAGCAAAGGACCCAGTTAAGTTATAATCACACTCATAACATGCAGAAACTGAGATAATAAATGGGTACTGTTTTAAGCTGTTAAATTGTGGTAATTTATTATTCAGCAATAGAAAACTAAGATACATGGTAATATAAACTCAGTTACTCAAATTCACTTTGCTTTATGTATTAGTGTTTCACAGTTAGCAAACTAAGTGATTTTTTTAGACATCCATTAAGTTGGAGATATAACCTTGATTACAGTAAAAATATTAAATATGCTGTGATCCTTTGCAATTTATATTCTGAATGTGATATTTACAAAGTAACTTCTACGCATATTTAAGGGTGTTATGCACTCTAATAATTAAAGTATTAAAGTGTCCTCCACATCTTAAAAGCCAGAAAATGACTTTGAGGTGGTGGGAAAGGAGCAATGACATCACTATGCCATGATTTTTGTTCCAAGAACAAACTCAGGTTTGCATGAAACGATTCATCAACAGAAAATCTATTGGCTTTTGGAGTTTCTCTTTAGGCACTTGCTTTTTACTATGTGAGGTCAGAAGGGGGCTTCAGAATGCATGGGCTTAAGTCTTTTAATCCTTTTCTCTTGCTGATTGTTTGTTTGTTTGCTCAAGGAACTCTACCATGTGGGATAAGAGTATTGTCAATATTCAACCTTCTTCCTCTGCTTTTCTGTTTATTGCAGTCTTCATCAGAAGCTATTCATTTCTATTGCTTCAGACATCACTTTTATGCTGCTTCTTCATTGGTTTCCATTTCTATTTTCCCTACATGCTGTATATTTTTACTTGAATTTTCTGGTGTTAATAAAAATTCAAAGCTCTCTTATATTCCTTATTTCCAAAAGAGTTACCTATATCTTCCTGGTTACTCATCTTCAGAAACTTAGAGTCACTGTTAACTTGTTCTTCACTCCTATTCCTGACAAAAGTTAACTATCTTCCAAAACCAAAACTCACACTAAATGTTAACCCCATCAAAATATCTTTCCTGGATCTACCTGGTCCCAGAAAGACTCTCCTATTTTTGATAGCAAATAGAATCTGGGGTACTGCATTTAGAGTTCTTACCATATTGTTTTCCCTATAGTTATATATGTGCATTTCTTTATCTTTTCTCATGACTACATTTTTCTGAAGGGCATATATGAGAATAATGAAGTCTTAAGTATCTTTTCATGTCTTTCAATGTTGAGCAGAATACCTTACTTATTATTTTTTAAGTTACATAATTCTCAAGAATTTCATAAGAGTTCTTATACTTATCAAATCATTTGATTTTTGCAGGATGCGGTAGATGAGTAGGGAAGAAAAGTGAAGACTAGAGGATTAAAAACACTTGGCTAAGGTCACACAGGTAGGAGGTGAAGGTAATTCCTTGAACAGAGTTAATCTGACAAAGTTTGGTACTTTTTCTGATGTATCATGCCTCTTGTAAATATAATGGGTTGCTGACAAAGAGTGACTTAGTCTGGTTTACTTTATATTATAGAAGAGAAGTAAAGATAATACTTTAAACTGATCTAACATTGTAGGTAATGGATTTTTGCAACAATAGCCATATATGTATGCTAAAAATATATCCAAAATGTTAACTACCCAAACTAAAAAGTGGTAGTTGGCTATAAGTAAATATTAACCAACTGGTTTCTGTTGTACAGAAATTTGAAACTTACTTGCAGAAGCATCCCAAAATTTTATTGATCCATCTGCATGACTAGATGAGAAATAAATTAGCATTAATTAAAGTATACTAAATAAAAATAATAATCACTCCAAATGTACAAAAAATTGAATTACTGTTAATAAAGTTTTGATTCAAAAATACCACTTTAATGAAAACTAATGTATGCTAAACCATTTCTAAGCTTAAAACAATGGCTCATTTCTTAAATAATATACTAAAATCTAAAGATTATGAAAAGAGCAGTAATTCCTTAGACTTTACTGTAAAAGATTATATGTGTAATAAAGAGCAATGAAAAATTGCCTGTGGAAAGTGAACAACATATTTTCATGTAAAATTATTTGTATTCAATAAAAAGATAGATAATTTTGATATTACTACAAATATAAATTGAATATCATAGCAAAATTAAAGTCAAGTTTCAAAATATAAAAGCAAATCACCAAATATATCTAGAGTTGCATAATCATTTGGTAATAATAAAATGTCAATTCTAAAAAAATTCATCTAGAAAATAGAAAAGGATATTTCCCTCTTCTTCAATACTTCAATACGTTTGATGAAGTCAGCTTACCCTGACACCAAATCCAGATAAAAACATTACAAGAAAATTACAAACCGATATTCCTCATGTAAATAGGCATAAAAATTGTCTACAAATTATTAGCAATGGAAATCAAGTAATATAGAGAAAGGATAATATATTATGACTGGGTTTTCTTAGGAATGTAAACCAATTAAACATTTAAAAAAATCAACTACCACATTAAAATTCACCATACTGACAGATTACAAAAGAAAAGCCATTTAGTCAGCTCAATAAATGCAGAAAAAGCATTTGACAAGATTTATCATTCATTCATAAAAAACTTTCAATAAACCAGGAATAGAGGAACTTCTATAACCAGATAAAAGATGTGTAGGAACAAACTACAGATATCTACGAACAAACGTAATAGTGAAAGATTGAATGTTTTTCCCTAAGATCAGGAACAAAGCAAAAAAAAAAAAAAGTTCACTCTCACCATTCTTATTCAACATCTTATTGGAGGTGGTAACCACTGCTATAGGGAAGAAAAATAAATAAAAGGCATACAGACTAAAAAAGAAGAAACAAAATTGTTTCTATTTGCATATTATACGGCTATGTAGAAAATCCCAGAGATTCTACAAAAAGGATACTGGAATTCATAAATGAGTAGCACAATTGTAAGACACAATATCAACATACAAAAATCAATTGTATTTCCATTGAATTAGCAATAGACATTTGGAAATTTAAGCAACAACATATTACTACTTACAACAGTGACAAAACCAAAAAATAGACAAAATCTAACATTATTTGTGCCAGATCTGTATGCTGAAAATTATAAGATGTTGACCAAAAAATAAGGCAATAAAAGGAGATATAAAACATATCATTGAAAATTGTATGACTTATTAGATATTTGTTCCCTTAAATAACATATAAATTCAATGTAATCACAAATATGGTAAAACAATTTTTTTTTGTAGAAATAAACAAATTGATGGCCATACTGCACAAAGCAATGTACAGATTCATCACTATTGCTGTCAAACTGCCAACAGCATTCCTCACAGAATTAGAAAAAATTATTCTAAAATTCATGTGAAACCAAAGAAGCCTGACTAGCCAAAGAAATCCTAAACAAAAGGAACAAAGCAGGAGGCATCACACTACTCAACTTCAAACTATTCTATACTTGGCTACAGTAAACAAAACAGCATGGTATTGGCACAAAAACAGACACATAGACCAATGGAATAGAAGAGAAAACTCAGAAATAAAGCCTCACATCTACAATCATTTGAGCTTTGACAAGGCTGACTAAAACAAACAATGAGAAAAGAACTCCTTGTTCAATAAGTGGTGCCAGGATAACTGGCCCTTACTTTTCACCATATACAAAATTAACTCAAGATGGATTAAGGATTTAAATGTAAAACCTCAAACTACTAAAATCCTAGAAGAAAACCTAAGAAATAGCCTTCTTGTTATCAGCCTTGGCAAATAATTCATGGCCAACCCCTCCAAAACAATTGTGACAAAACCAAAAACTGACATGTAAGACCTAATTAAACTTGAGAGTTCTGCACAGTAAAAGAAACTCTCAACAGATGAAACATACAACCTACATAATGGGCGAAAATATTTACAAACTATGCAGCTGACAAATATCTAATATTCAGAATCTATGAGGAACTTGAACAAACCAAAAAAAAAAAAAAAAGATAACCCTATTAAAAGGTGGGCAAAAGACATTAACAGACACTTCTCAAAAGAAGACATACAAGCAGCCAACAAACATATGAAAAAGTGCTCATCATCACTAATCATCAGAGAAATGAAAATCAAAGCACAACGGAATACCATCTTACAACAGTCAGTACGGCTATTATTAAAAAGTCAAATAGTAACAGATGCTTGCCAGATGGCAGAGAAGAGGGAATGCTTAAACCCTGTTGGTGGGAATGTATATTAGTTAAACCACTGCTCAAAGTAGAAAGCAGTTGGGAGATTTCTCAAAGAACTTAAAATAAAGCTACCATTGACCCAGCAATCAATCCCATTATTGGGTATATAACCAAAGCAATATAAATCATTATACCTAAAAGGCACATGCACTCATATGTTCATTGCCATGCTACTTACAATATAGCACATGGAATCAACCTAGGTGCCCATCAACAGTGGATTGGATAAAGAAAATATGGTACATATATACCATAAAATACTACACAGCCATAAAAAAGAATGAAATCACATCCTCTGCAGAAACATGGATGGAGCTGGAGGCTATAATCCTAAGTGAGCCAGAGCAGGAATAGAAAACTAAATGCCACATGTTCTCACAGATAACTGGAGCTAAACACATAAACATAAACACAGAAAGAATAGACACTGCATACTACCAGAGTGGGGAGGGAAGGGAGAGATGTGGGTTGAAAACTACCTATTGGGTACTATGTTCACTACCTGTGTTCAGTATGCCCATGTAACAATCATACATATATCCCTGAATCTAAAATAGCAGCTGAAATTTTTTTTTTAAAGAAAAGTAAAGAAATTAGAATAGCCAAAGCAATTTTGAAAAATGAAAGCAAAGTTGGAGAACTCAAACTACATAAGGTTTAAATCTCACCCTAAAGCTACAATAAAATGTTTGTGCTGGTGAAAAACAGACACATATATCAACGAAACATAGTAGAGAGTCCATAAATAGAACCATATGTATATGGTCAACTGATTTATTTTTTGAGACAGGGTTAGTCACTGAGTGGCTTACTCTACTTTGTTAATAGCTTTATTGAGATATAATTTACATAACTATAAAATTCACCCTGAGTGTGTACAGTTTGATAATTTTTAGTAAATTTACACAGTTATCACATTGACATCATCATCCAGTTTTAGAACATTTCCATCATCCCAAAAAGTTACCTCATGGCAATATGCAACCCTCTTTCCCATCCTCAATAGATTCACAATGATCTACTTTCTGCCTATGTAGATTCTTTTTTCCTTAGAATTTTTATATAAGTGGAACCCACCTACTGTTTTATGTCTGCATCTTTCACTTAGCATAATGTTTTTGAGGATAATCTTTCTTACATGTATGAATAATTTGTTTCTTTTTATTGCTAAATACTCTATTTACCCCTTCACCAAATCATCTGGGTTGTTTTCAGTTTTTGGTTATTACAAATAAAGGTGCTATGAATGAATTCATATGTTTATGTACTCTAATTATACACTAATTAGATATGTTTAAACTTTATTACTAAAAAATTCTGCAGCATGAGACTCAGCATGAGCTCAGGCAGTAATGCTCACTCACCTGCCGCTCACCTCCTGCTGTGTGGCCTAGTTCCTAACAGGCCATGGACTGGTACTGGTATGTGGTCTGAGAGTTGTGAACCCCTGACCTAACATGTTACTTATCCTGGAATAGGGTCCACGTGTGCTTAAGCAGATTATTTTTCTCCTATTGATAGGTGTAATGTTTTGTATCTCTGTTAGGCCCAATCTGAGACTCTATATACCCCAACAAACTTTAATTCTATTTTCTTTTTCACGTAATATTTGATATGAAAATAATAATGTGTGTAACATAGATTTAATATACAGAATATAATCATATTGAAACTACTCAACCAAAGAACTAACATTACTAATAATGTGCATCTACAGATGTGTGGCCTAGCAGAGCACTCCCCAACCTTTTTGGCACCAGAGACTAGTTTTGTGGAAGACAACTTTTCTACAGACAGGGGATGGTGAGAGAGAGATTCTGGATGAAATTGTTCCACCTCAGATTATCAGGCATTAGTTAGATTCTCATAAGACGCACTCAACCTAGATCCCTTGCATGTGTGGTTCACAATAGGGTTTGTACTCTTATGAGAATCTAATGCTGTCTCTCATCTGACAGGTGGCAGAGCTCAGGCAGTAATGCTCACTCACCTGCCGCTCACCTCCTGCTGTGTGGCCTAGTTCCTAACAGGCCATGGACTGGTACTGGTCTGCGGTCTGAGAGTTGCGAACCCCTGACCTAACATGTTACTTATCCTGGAACAGGGTCCATGTGTGCTTAAGCGATTATTTTTCTCCTATTGATAGGTGTAGTGTTTTGTATCTCTGTTAGGCCCAATTGGTCTATAGTGTTTTTCAAATACTCTGTTTCTTTCTTGATCTTTTGTCTAGTTGATCTATTCATTATTGAAAATGTGGTATTGAAATATAGTACTGCTACTGTGTTATTCTGTTTCTTTCTTGACTTTTGTCAGTTTGCTTCATATATTATTGTGCTCTGTTGTTACTTTCATATGTATTTGTACTTTTTATATCTTTCTGTTGAATTGACTCTTATTATTCGGTAATGTCTTTCTTTGCTCCTTGACTTAAAGTTATTGACTTAAAGTCCAATATAAATGTGTTCATCATGTTCTATTTTGGTTACAATTTGCATGGTATATATTTTTCTATCCTTTTACTTTCAACCTAT